TAGAATTGAAATTTGCCAGGAAAGTGGACTTAAATGTTCTCTCACACACACAAGACTAACAAATAAAGATGTGTTAATTAACTAGATGGGAGGAATCTTATGTCACAATGTATATGTATATCAAATCATCATGATGGACACCTTAAATAACTTACAATTTTATTTGTCAATTATACAGCAATTATGGCTAAAAAATACTGAAAATTGTGCAATTATGCCAACGTAAAATATTATAAGAGTAGGTTATTTAAATTTCGTTATTTATTTGTAATAAAGATAATAAAATAGTTGTGTGATATATGCTATTAATGCAAAAATTCCTCTTAGTCTTGATTACTTAATTTTGGAAAAATAAATACTTAATGATGTTAAATACTCAAACAATTGATGCCTATATTTTGTTGGCTCTGTTATTCAGAAATGTGATGAAAAGCAATCTCTAATGTCTTTAAGATGCCATGATTTTAGCTTTATCAACTTTGTGCCTTACATTTTTAAAAATAATGCTTTGAATTTCTTCCTGCACGAAAACCCCACAGCTCTTAAACATTTATTCAATTAAATTTGTAAAGTGAGAATAATGATAAATGCAAAATGTTAGTTTAAAGTGCTTGTGCATCTATTACTTTGTTGCTAATAACCAAGTAAAATGTCCAGGGTAGTTATTATTCTGAAAAGTTATCTGACCAGCCTAGGGGAGCAATGCTTTAAAGCCAGAGGTGGCTAAGTAAACAGTGTTAAGCAGTACCCCGAAATCCACTCCTCTAAAAAAATAAAAATAATACAAAAAACAAATCAATACAAATCTAACAGTGGTGTGGCCTTGAATTGGAGGGTGGATGTATTTGGAAGGAAAGCTTAGGATAGAGCTAAAAAGTAGAGAGGGTGGACTTCTGAAGTTCCCTGAATATCATTTAGAGGAGTTTGAATTTCATTTTTAAAAACTTGTTTATCAAATAACATACCGGAGAAGTGTTAAGCCTTAAAGGAATTATATTTAATTCTTATCACAGAATCTAGAATGTCAGATAATTTTGTTATATTAGATTAATATGTTTTGCAAATAACTGGTCACACATGGTTAAGAAGGTTTACTTTGACTCTCACCCTGGGAAGGGTGGCCATTGGACTGAGAGGCTCAAAATTGTTCAAGGAGAAGGTGAATACTGTGCGTATCAACTTTCTCTTCCACAAGTTCATCCTAGTGATGTCTGCGGGTTAGCACCTGCACTCTGCAGCATGCACTGAAAGCACTGTTCGTGACCAACAAGGAACAGGGCTTATTTAGAGCAGGTGCCTGCCCGAAGAGAAACTAGATAAAAAGAACAAGGTCAGAGCACTTTTCTGAGTGCTAAATACACTGGCCTACACTGTAATAAGTACTTTACTGTTTTATCTCATTTAAGCCTCATCAGATTCATGTAAGGCAGGCATTATTCTCTGTTTCACAGATGAGGTACCCGAGATCAAAAAAATTTAGGCAAATAGCCCCCTAAGTGCTATGAAATGGCAAAACAAAACACAATGCCATTTGTTGAATTTTTAAAAAATTTTTAATGTTTATTTATTTTTATGCATGAGCACATGTGGGGAGGAGGGCTGAGAGAGAGGGAGACACAGAATCCGAAGCACGCTCCAGGCTCTGAGCTGTCAGCACAGAGCCTGATGCAGGGCTTAAATTCATGAACCACGAGATCATGACCTGAGCTGAAAGTTGGATGCTTAGCTGACTAATTACTGAAGCATTATTTACAGTAGCTAAGACAATGGAAACAATCTAAGGGCCTGTGGATAGATGAATGGATAAAGGAAATGTGCGAATATTACACAGCCATGAAAGAGAATGAAATCTTGTCATTTGTGACAGCATGCTCGACCTAGAGGGTATTACACTAAGAGTGCTGGAGACCCGCTCCAGCCAGTCCAGGGGTCCCTAAAGGATGGACGGTGTCAACGAGAGGGAGTGAGAGAGCCCCAAGATTCTTTCTGATCGCCAGGCAGGCATCTCTGCACTGTCGGTTTCGGTGTCTTTATTTATAGGTCAAATGATAACATGGCATCAGAAAAAGGAATTTTTACAATGGAAAACTCTGCGATAAGATGCTTTGAAAAGTGTACAGAAGCAGGTTTTTCAGAAGTATGCCTGCAGAATTACCCCAATCATAGTGAGGTTGAGTAAATCTTACAACTAAGGAAATAACAGGATGTTCTTAGTGAAAAACAAGACGACATACATATCTGTTCTAAGTTAATAATGTTAAGATTAGGACATAGGTTAAGTTGTATATAGATAAGCTAGGCATCATTCTGTCTGGCTCTCAAGAGGACGAATGTTTTTGAGCTGGTTAATAAGTTGTTTGTGGAAACTTTTTTGACTTGATGCTGAATGTGTAAACACCATGGAGGCCCTAAGTGTGTCGGCTTTTGTTTTTGGGTTTTATTTTAGCTACTCTTATCTATCCTCATCCCAGCTGCCACTGTAAGGGAGGGTGTTTGTGGAAAGTAGGCCTTAGGGAAGGGACTGTCATACATCACAATTTAGAAAAGATATAAGTATTAACTTAAGTTCCCCCCTTATCTGTTCCTTAACTCTAAATTAGGCTCTTTTTCTCAGGGCCAGGCTCAACTGTAACTCTTGAGTTCTTAACTCCCTTTATTATCTAAGTCTTGGATCTACAAGGCCCATAGGAAGAGCCTTTTGGCAATCATCCACAGTGCTTTCAACTAAAATCTATTTTGAAGAGGCAGGAATATCCTTTTCCTTATGAGGTATCTGTGTGGGGAATATCAGTCTTATTTGGAATGTTGTGAGGCCTGGTCCATACCAGAAGGCTCATTTCCAACATGAGCCAGTAGTAGCAGAAGGAGATACCAGTTACGTTTCTCATGACAGGAGCCAGTGCGGCTCCCAGCATAAGTGAAATAAGTCAGACAAAGACAGACAAATACCATATGATTTTGCTTATGGTGGAATTAAAAAACAAAACAAATGAACAAACAAAACCAAACAGAAACAGACTCATAAATACAGAGAACAAACCAGTAATTGCTGGTGTGGAGGGAGAGGGGAATGAATGGCTGAAATAGGCTAAGTGGATTAAGGGGTATGCGCTTCTAGTTATAAAACAAATAAATCACAGGGAAGTAAAGTACAGCATAGGGAATATAGTCACTAATATTGTAATAACTTTGTATGGGGACAGTTGGTAACTAGACTTACCAGGGTGATCATTTCATAATGTATAGAAATGTCCAATCACTATGTTATACACCTGAAACTAATATTATATTGGATGTCAACTATACTTCCATAAAAAAATCCACTTTCTCTGTCTTACCACTGTACCAAATAACATGAAATGTAGTTACCAACCTTTAACGACACATACCAAAAAAAAAGAGAGATTACGCTTTAATGAATTGAAGCAAGATCATAGTTTACTGATACAAATAACTGTGCACACAATAAGAAATATAATACACCTCCATTAACTACAAACTATAGCACACACTATCACGAGATAATTGAACCCAGACAACCCACATCTGCAGGCTTTCTGATCTTCCACTGACAGTTGAGTTCAGAGTCTAAGGGCATTTGCTTTGGTGTTCGCTTAGATTTTCCGAACTATCTCAGTTCTTGATTCCACCCTGCTATTGTGTGGATCAAATGATCCCTGGTCACAAAAATACGCTGGGGAGTGACTCCCCTGGCGTCCAGGTTATGAGTGTGGTCAGTCATTCCACATGCCATGGAGATGAGCTATCTTTACCATGATGAGAGATTTCCTTTTCAAGGTTAGTAATTCCCAAATACAAAATACTAGCATCAATAAGAGTCAAAGTAATTAAGGAAACATATAGTGCAACCTTGTTCAAGATAGCACTGAAATTAGGCTTAGGTCTCTCTGCTGTCTTTTTTTATAAGTAAAATTATTACCGACCTAGAATAAAGAAGAAATTTGATAATATACTCTTAGACTTACAGATATCTATTACACTGACTTCTTCAATGTAAACCGTAACCAGACATTTAAAAATATATCTCTGACATGTGCACATTGGATATGCCAGAGCCATTCTCCTTTTGCATGGGTAATCATATTATAAACCAACTCGGGAGGGAGAGAAAAAAATAGAAAGCAATCTGGAAGCCTCTCCTCTTCCTTTTCTTCTAATCTTTCATAATTTCTTAGAGAAGGGGGTTCTACGTTTTAAACAATATGACTCACTTTATGTTTGCGGCCTTCCGACACTCCAGAATATTCTCAACTTTTCGTGAGCAGAGGTACAGCTCACGGAGTAGGGGTAAATCAGTCCCACGCTCCTGTTAGGCGTGAACCTAGGATGCAGACCTCTTTTGGATCCCGGGAGCTCTCCGAGATCCAGCTCTCAGCGTCCTGCAGACCGAAGGGACTCGCTAGGTTGGGAACTGCTGCTTGGTGCGGTTCCAAAGACAGGATGTTGTAAATATCTTTAAGGGTAGCGGAGTTATAGAACCTTCCCTCCCGGTCTCTTTCTTCCCATCCTCTGCTCCTAACATTTTACAAGTTGCCTGCAAGGGAGTCAAACACGGGTCAGGCAAACAAACGTGTTCTTTCCAGCCACCGTAACCGGATCGCTGGAACGAAATAAACTCGCAGAAGCGTCCAGAGACCGCAGCCAGACAACCAGCCTGCACTAAAAGCAACTTCGAAGTGAGGCTGCAAGCGCTGCCCGCTGCATATTTTATTCGGTGGCTAAGCACAGTTACGATACCGCACCTCCCGCAAAAACAACAAAAAGCCTTGCAGGAGTGAGGCAGGGAGGACGCTGCGAAAGTCGCCTGCATTTTTGCACAGCGGCGACACTCGTTAGAAAGCCCTGCAGCTTTGGGAGACGGAAGGAGAGTGAGCAAGGCCCGGAGCCGCGGTTTTGGGGAGAGAGAGGGTAGGGAGGGGGAGCGGGTGGGGGCCTTCCGCCTATCTCCCCTGCGAGCCCAACAGCTGTCTAGCTCTTGGAATTCGTTGGCTTCCCCCGCCGCGCCTCCCAAATACCACCCCAATCCAGCTTAGACCCCCCGCCCCACCCTCGCTGACCTAATAAGGCCATGCAGTGTGTGGGGGACCTACTGTATAAAAGGCGCGGGCTCGCGGGGACTCTGCACGACGCCGGGGAGAGAAGTCAGCTGCGGTCCTGTGCCCACAAAGACGACCATGGCGAAGGAGTGGGGCTACGCCAGCCACAACGGTGAGTCCGAGCACCCACCCACCCCCGCCCCCTCCTGGCCCGGGATAGTGCCAGAGATGCCCCTGGCATTGCACAGAAAGTGGGCAAATCTAGAGAGTGCGTGGGAAAATACGGGAGGAGGAGTTGATGGAAACTAACATTTACTGAGCACTTACCAAGTGCCGAAAGCTGCTGACCCTTTTACCTTTATCTCATTTAGTTCTCCCGGGTATGGAGCCGTTTTTACTTCCGTTGGAGGAAACTGAAGTGCAGAGAGAGGCTCGGTAACTTGCCCAAGATCACACTGCCTCTGACTGAGAAGTCAGCCCACGCGAGGTCCAGTTCTGATTGTCCCTTACTCCATGATACTGGGCAAGCACTTAACCTCTCTGAGCCTGGCGTTGGTTTAAGTATCCTTGCACTGCCTGCTGGCTTCTGCCTACCCCTTGGTAAAAGAAATATGGGTGTGTTTGAAAACCACATGTGGTCAGTGTTATTTTATTCCAGCTATATGATGTACGATGGCATTGGTAAGACGTGATGAAGTGCATCTCAAAAATAAGTCTTTGAAGCTGTATTCTTGAGCAAGCAGAGGGACTCCTCTGTGTTCAATAGTTTCTGGGTACACTAGTAACAAAACTATGAAAAGGTCTTAAATGCTAAGCCCAACTGAAACTTGCCCAAGCTGAAATCCAAGGCCTTTTCATAGTCATTGACTAGCCTCTGAGTATTTTGCTGGTTTAGTCAATTAGAAAGAGGGCTTAGAATGTGTCACCAAATAAATCCGTGCCCTCAACTTGACTTCCTAGGTCCTGACCACTGGCATGAACTCTATCCGATTGCCAAGGGAGACAACCAGTCACCCATCGAACTGCATACTAAAGACATCAGGCACGACCCTTCTCTGCTGCCGTGGACAGCATCTTATGATCCTGGCTCTTGCAAGACCATCCTGAACAACGGGAAGACATGCAGGGTTGTGTTTGATGATACTTATGACAGGTCAAGTAAGTATGGTACTTAGGTAGAGGCACATGGGCAGTTTCAACGTCCCTATTGGCAAAATGAGATTTGTGACACAGTAACAGAGTTTGTGGCAAAAAGAGCCACTTCATCTCTGAAAATGGAGATGACATTTTGCTTTTCTCTAGTCGTGAAGAATTGTATTTATGCATTGACTAGGAATGTCTTGCTCTCTAACCTTGGTCAGCTTTGCTACTGCAAAGTGGCCCCATGCCCAAGCTAATAGCTGGCACTGCATTCTTGAAATGCAGCTTGATAGGGAGGTGATGGCAGTGAGTCCAAATGAGTGTCCTTCAGGCTCTGATGCCTACACCTGAGGGTGCTTGTGGTTTTTGACCACAGTCTAGAGAGCAAGGCGCTCATTCCCAAGTGTGGCAGAGAGGCCATTCTGCAAAGCAAGGAACAGAGCAAAGAAACAGAGTAGGCACTTTCTTCCCCTGGTGTGTGAGTGGGGGCCAACCCAGGGGAGAGAATAAGGTCATTATATGAGTCTGGAACATTGCCCTCAATGGTTCAGTGGGGTTCATATCATTAATCCTTTTGCTGAGTATTTTTGAAGTATCTGACAATTTTGTGAGTAGTGATTTGTGTGTGTGAAAATGAAAAATCACATGTGTAAAAAATCCTTTATTTCACTACACTATTAAGAAAATCAGGAAAATAAAAGAAGTCTAATTAGAAATGCTTTATTTCAACTGTAAAGGAGGTAAGGAATAATCTACCTTGAATATTTTGATGATTGATGCACAATAATCCATTTTCTTATAACCACATTTGTAAAAAAGTTAAAATGATCTGCATTGATGTACATAAATGAGTATTCTCAACGATATTATAGGAAAGAGCAATAGTGTCATAATTCCTACCTACCAGAAGTCTCCAAATAAGGAATATCATAGAAACGTATATTTCCTTAAATAATAATTTTATGTTGCTGTTAATTTTTTCTCCCTTCTCCATTTAAGTCAAGTTCCATTCTGAAGGAGGAACAACAAAATTAAACAGTATCTATTATGTTGAATCACATGAAAATACCATTTTTGCAAGCAAAAAAAGTGGTGAAATACTGACAGTTCCATATATGTTATCCTAATAATTGGATTCATATGCCCAGAAAATAACTGTTGTAGTGCTTGGACAGAAAAAATGCTATGAATCAAACCACTTATTTCTACATGACCAAGCTCATACAAATCTAGCTCTGTTGTTTTAGATTTATATTATGTGGCTTTCAGTGTGCCATTTCAGCACCACTAGTTGGTCAATCCTTTCTAGAATAGCTACTCTCTGAATTCTATTTTGATGTAGCTTATGTCGCTTAATCTTGATTTTAGTTTTTTTTTTTTTTGCATAGTTTCTAATGTCCTGCAGAAAATATTTGAACCTCTAAATCACTTCCTAGGTGAATGAAATGAGATCAAAGTGAGTGATGGGTTGAGGTATTTGGACAACAAACTCAAAAATTAATGGTGCCCAGAACCATCTAGTTTATATGTCCACCGTTGATTAGCTCCTGGGAAATTTCTGAATTTTCCCTTTTATCTCATTTGAATAGACACAGTCTAAGTATGGATGAAAGCTCCTGCTTGGAGTCTCAAAGAAGAGTTGAGTTGGAGGCAAAACATGAAGAAGGAATTCACATTTGCTCAGTGATTGGTGTACTGGGCACTGTGATGAGCACTTTTAAGTCCTTAATCTCATTTAATCCTCACGGCAGCTCTCAAAGGTTGATATTATTATCACGTTCATACAGATGCAAAAACAGGTTCGGAGAAGTTTTGCAACTTGCCTGAGATCACACAAGTATCTAGGATTTGAACCTACATCTGCCTGCCTCTCAACTGTCATGTTCTTAACACTACAACACAGGACCAACTCCTTTGTTGATTGCCTACATCCTTATTACCCATCTTTGGTTTTAAGTGTAATAAAACAAGCAGACAAAATAAGACAGAAAAGAGAAATCATTTATTTTGACATATCTTTAGTTTGACTTTATTTTGCGAGAAACAGACCAGGGTGTTTGAGAGCAGTACCACCTGCCCAGCAGACTGACTTTTGCCCAGCTAACTTTTGTCTGTAACAGCACTTGTTTAAAGTAGGACTCTGTAAGACAAGCATGAGTTCACTGTTGACCTCGCTTCTCTGAATCACAGTGCTGAGGGGTGGTCCTCTCATCGGAGCCTACCGACTTCGCCAGTTTCATCTTCACTGGGGCGCCTCGGATGACCACGGCTCCGAGCACAGTGTGGATGGAGTCAAGTACGCGGCGGAGGTAGGAGGGACTGCCATAATCCACTCTGGGTTTCACAAACCAGAAACTGCCAACTGAAAATCAACGACAAAATTGTATCCACTACTCTTCCCTCCAGCCTGTAGTGGTGAAAAAGAGCTGTAGTAGTTCCGGCTGAAGCTGAAGCTGCCACACATTCAGGCTAGACAGTTAAGAGAGGCTGTTAAAAGAGGATGGGATAGTGTCATGCGTGAAAATTTTCACGGTTATGTTAAGAAATTGGATAGCAGTTTTTGAAAAAAGGCCAAGGTCCTGAATGAAAAAGATAAGGATTGCTACCGTTTATTAAGTGCTTACAAGTATTTACTTATTTGATCCCCTCAGCAACTCTGCGGGATAGGTTACAGATGAAGAAACTGAGACAAAGAAAAGCTACATAACAAAGTTACATTGCTGTTGAGTGCTAAACCTGGCACTCTGCCTTGTGTAGATTGGTTTCAGAGTTTATCATCTTGTCCAGGGCCTTAAACTGCCTCTTTTATAAGAATGCAGTGCTCTAAAAATGGCATTAATAATTCTGGCTAATGCTAACGTTCTAGTCTCTTAATGAAGGGTGTGCATATATGTATGTGTGTATATATGGGTATATATGTTATACACACATATAGATAGACGAATAGATACGTATAATTTAATATGAGCAAATACTAGGTCTTAGTTAACCCATTAAAGAAAACCTGATTTGTAACTCAGATCAAGGCATCAAATGACAAGGAAATAAGACGAACCTCCTGCATTTTATTTTATAAAGCTATGCCTGTAAGAGGTGACACATACTGTGGAGGTGAGGAACATTCCAGTTTTACTGCCACACTTGTTTCCAGCGGTAGGTTCTTGTCAACATAGGAGCTGGGGCAGGAGCCCTGGAGGCACTCGTGGACACTTAGGCAGCCTCATTAGTACTTAATTGCTGGCTAAGCTGAACTCTAGAAAACCCAAAGTACACTTCACTATGATCGTTACATTGTTCTACAGCCCATCTAGAAAGCCATGACCGGAGAGATAATTAAGGCTGCCTTCTAGACACCCTCCTCCCACCCCCACCAAAAATGGGGAGAGTTTAGTAAATTTCTTACAAGCCTGGGGCAAGGCTCGCAGTTTGGCCTTTATACATGGGTGTATCTCAATGCTTTTGATCTTGAGTACAATATCTTTAACTACTGTGAACTATTGTATTCTCCTTCCATTCCGTGTAACTCAATATGGGAAATTTGACCAATTTAACTGGTGCCTGTGTTCTAAATTAAGATAAGGTTACCACTGGGTTGTTGAGCACTGGCTGCTAAAAGGAGGTAGATACGAAAATGCCCAAGACTTTTCCTATTGTTTGTCCCCCGCTACTTCCCAATTAATTCTAACTTTAGAACGTTAGCAGCTTCTTGCTTATAGCTGTGCATTTCACTGTTTGATTTGGTTAGAAAAACTAAAGTAAAATAAATATACAAATGCAAAAAATGTACAATAAATACACATACAATAAATAACTATACAATGTATATGTATATGTATATACACATATACAATAAATAAATACACAAATACAAAACTAAAATAAATATTTTGAATTAGTTTAACAAAAAAGTTCAACTTTTACTGATAGCTTATTACAAAGGTCTGGATCTACTTATAACCATTTTATATACTTCTTCTTTGAACTATTAAAAACTTCACCAAAATATTGCATATCAATATTTAGAATTCTGTCAACTTCTATAAGAGTGTTCAACAACTTTAGAGTATACAGTTGGGTTTATTTTGAATAATTTTATACATATTTCTTTACTCCAGAAATTTACCTCCTAACCTGTATTGTATGGTTGCAGCTTCATTTGGTTCACTGGAATCCAAAGTATAACACTTTTGGAGGAGCTCTCAAGCAACCTGATGGAATAGCTGTGGTTGGCATTTTTCTGAAGGTAAGGTAAAAATTGGTCACCTTTTTCTTTCAAAATTTAGTTCCTTATCAATGGTTAAGGTAGCATGAGTTCCACGCCTTCCTTTAATTTAAAGGGGAAAGAAGAATGAATATCATTATTCATTCAACTAATCAAGATATTTCTGCTAAGATCAGCTCAAATTATTTAGCTCTCCCTTAAAAGTGTTTCTTCTGCCATTCTTTAGTAACCCTAACACTTTAAAATTCTTTCAAGAATGTGTGTGTGTGTGTGTAATGGAGACAGAGGCTTGAAAGGAGCTTTATGGTGGTGGGAGGGGCCAAAACGGCGTTGTTCATTGTCCTTTCCCGTTACTCTATTTCAATCGCACTGGAAACCAGAAAAGCCAATGTTGGGAACCACTGTGATGCCAAGTCCCTGGCTGGACATCCCCTCGGCTTAGGGAGGCCACCACTCACATGATCCCAGGCTAAGATAGCACACGGAATGTGTGTGTTGTTGGGCCAGCTTTGGTTTAAAGTGGACTTAGTGTCATTAACACATGAATTTAGTAGTAACGTAATCTGGATTTTAAGCCACAGGTGAAAATCTAGCTTCTTTCTTTTTGAATGACCTAATTTGTTTTATGTCCTGAACTCATTGGGTCATTTTCAGTGATTGAAGCAACACAACAGGAAGTGGAGTAGGTCTGAATTGAGACAATAAGTTTAGTTTTACATAGGTCAAGTCCATCCTAGCTTTAATTCTATAAAAACAAATAAAGGAGAATGACTGCAGAAAAGGTCAAGAACATCAACATGTGATTTTGTGGTTTTGTACTACAGAGGCCTGTTGTCTAAGTTTAGTTCAAAAAGTATATACCCTAAAATCTTGGGGGAGAAAGAAACTTATGTTTTTGCTTAGTACATGATATTCTGGCAGACTTATAAACACTAGTTACAGATGGATAGATCAAAGTCAGTGTTCAAGACAATCATAAATTATGGAAAAGGGAAAAATATCATCATTGTTTTTTTATTTTATTACAGATAGGACGTGAGAAAGCCGAATTCCAGCTGTTCCTTGATGCATTGGACAAAGTTAAGACAAAGGTGAAAATAAATCATTTTCCCTCCTACACCATAATGCATTTTTTGTTTTTACATTTTCCTTAAAATTTTTTAAATGTTTATTTATTTTTGAGAGAGAGAGACACAGAGTGTGATACACAGAGGCTCTGAGAGAGAAGGATACACAGAATCTGAAGCAGGCTCCAGGCTGCCAGCACAGAGCCCGACGCAGGGCTTGAACTCACGAACAGTGAGATCGGACCTGAGCTGAAGTCACCCAGACCTCACCTTGACTGAGCCACCCAGACACCCCTATTTTTACATTTTAAGTGTATTTGTTTCACTTAAAATTTTTTACTAAGTTTGATGAATATGCTAAATACATGTATACAAGCAATGCTATTGTATTTGTACAATTTATAATTTTTAGAGCAATTTTACACGTATCAGCCTATTTAGTTTTCATAGTCTGTCAGATGACATTTTTTAATGAAGTAAATGTAAGAGAAGTTGAATGGTCAGCCCCTGCCCTCAACACACACACACACACACACACACACACGCGCGCGCGCGTGGAGAAGTACTAAATATTTAGGTCCCGGTGTTGGCCCTTCTCTCTTGGGCAACACCTATATATTTCTTACCTTAAGGAAATCTTAACAGTGGACTCTTCTAATTAACAGATTCATTTGAATTGCCTATGGAATGGTTCTAATAAAATGCTTTAAAGTTTTATCACCGCAGAAAATAGTCAGGCGAGCCTGTTTCTTTTTTAGCATTGTGAACCTAAACTTTAACAACTTATATGAAATACTTCTACTACAGTTAGATATGAATTTTCTTCCTTTTCTTGAGAGGTGACAGAATTATAGTTCTATTGACAGTCACTAGGGAATGAAATGTTATAATGACTATGCCAAAGTCATAACATAAACCAGCTTCCACCCTCTGACCTTTATTTCTGAAAGGCATGAACTTCACTTAAAAATACTGTTTCCTCTATTCCATTTGAAATCCATTCTCACAAAATGGTGAAACCCTTGGGGTGGGCGGTGTGGGTGCACTTGCTCAGCGTGCCTGCGTCCTCCTCTCTCCCAGGGCAAGGAGGCGCCCTTCACCAATTTCGACCCGTCTTGCCTGTTCCCCACTTGCCGGGACTACTGGACTTACCACGGCTCTTTCACCACGCCGCCCTGCGAGGAGTGCATCGTGTGGCTTCTGCTGAAGGAGCCCATGACCGTGAGCTCCGACCAGGTAAGCGCCAGCCATGGGTGGAACCTTGACACACGGACTTACAGAGCCACTTACTGTGGCTGTAGAAGATAGAGATGCTAAATGGAAAATGTACAGCTGCTAAATGGGTGCTTACAAAACAGCTCTATGACCAGAGACTTCATAGTTTGCCCTGGGTAATTGCACTCATCTTGTTCAGCTTTCTAAAACTTGGCTTCCAAAAGTACCAGGATAAATGCCAATCATTTAAAGGTGGTTGTAATACTGAACAATGACGCGATTTATGCTCTAGAAACTCTTTAGAGTTTAGATTATCAATATGAGTTACCCTTTGTTAATTTGCACGCCCCTCAAATACTAAGCACTGATTAGGAGATTATAAATACAGGCTTAGGGAAAATGACACTAATGGAAGGAATTTAACCTCCTTGTGAAGTGTGTATCATTTTTCCAGTTCTACAGACAAGTAAGTTGTGGCTCAGAGAGGTTAAATAGTTTGCCCAGCATCACACAGCCAAGTGTAGGAGCTGAGAGTCAACTCTGGTCTGCTTGCTTCCAATATCTCTTGACCCCTTCTCGTAGGCCTTTCTTCCTAGGATTCATCTGATGAATATCCTTGCAACATTTATCAGAGAGACTTCCAAGGAAAGATTGTTTAGGAAAAAAGTATGAAACCAGGGATATGGAGAAGAACAGATTAAAGCAAAGGGACAACACAGAAACACACTCTAGATCATGAAGTCTAATGATAAAGTCAGCTTACCAGCGTGTCTCTCTTACATAAAACAGTTTCATATTTCTGCCATTTACAGACTCAGGTGTATATGATCATTTTTTAATCAAAAGATTAGATTTGATGGTCGGATTCACTCACGTACATATTTTGGAAAGAGGAATGAAATTTTCTTAAGGAGAAAGCTAAAAACATTTTTGTGTAGAAATATAGCCCATGATGAAAATGTCCTGAATTCTTCTCCCTCTTGTAAGAAAAAAATTAATTTTAAATATAATGTGACTAATTTCTTTCTGTTTTAAAAAATGGACTTCATCAACTTCTACAATGAAGGCCAGTTAACTTATTATTTGTGCTGATATTGTCATCCCCTCCTACATCAAGTATATGCTTCATACTGACTCCTCAAATTAAAACAATTGTCTCAGGATTTGGGAGGAAAACACGTTGACCAGAGCGCATGGTGATCTATATAAAATGAAGAAAAGTATTTTTACAAATAAAAAAAAGGTTCATGTTGCTCAGGAACTGGTAACCCAATTACTCTGGACCAACGGGTTTGTGGTTTGCTTGTCTTGTTTGAAAAGCCGGACATTTCTGACTGGCACATGCAGAATGCGTGCACTTGGCCAGAATGTCGTGCTGACAGTCTCCCCTCGCCCCTTGCAGATGGCAAAACTGAGGAGCCTCTTCTCCAGCGCTGAGAACGAGCCCCCCGTGCCCCTGGTGGGGAACTGGCGCCCTCCGCAGCCTATCAAGAACAGGGTGGTGAGAGCCTCCTTCAAATGAGGCCGCTGGAGCTTGCCCTCTTCAGGAAAGGAAAGCTGCCATTGGAGAGCTTGGTTCCTTGTCCCCTTTTGGTGCTCCTGACTCCGAGTATATTTCAGTTTTCCACACGAAGCGATGAATACAAGAGTATAATAACCAAGACACCAGTTACTTTTGACAAGATGTAATATGAAAGCACTTGGCCTTTGTAATAGTCATCTTTCCTATGAAAGTAGCATTTCTAGTAAGGTTTCAAAGAAGAAGAGAGAGAGGGAAGAGTAAAGATCTAGAAAAATGGGTATTTGGCACTACTTTTCTGTCATCGTAAATTTCACAGAACTTCAGTTTTACAATTTTCATAGTGTGAGCTGTCCATCTTAAAGAAGGAAGGAGTAAGTCTATATGTAGGGGTAGATGTGAACGAGGATCATATAGCAATTAAACATAAGCCAGTAATTAAAACTACTATGGACACCCAACAATTGAAATGATGCCTTTTAACCCTTAACTACAACCAGAAAGAGGTCCATCATTTATTACAGTTTTAGCTACTGTGAAGATTATCTGGTTTTGATTATCAATGAAAGGAAAACACATTCAACTGGGAGTTTTAAAAAGTTTGATCCAGTGTTTGAATTTCTTCTTCTTAAAGGTGGTTGACTTTATCCTAATATTTTTCTTTACCTGAAAGAGGGCCATTTATTTTTAATTTTACTATTTTCTCTTTGCATGCTTATTAAAATAAAAATTGCCTCTGATATCTTTCTAATTTGAGGGTGGAACAAGAATTCCTAGAACACGAAGGAGCGAATGACAGCACTTGCAGTAAAAGCAGTTGTACTGATCATCAAAACTAATAAAGATGTGAATGGAAAAAATTGCGTTATGTTTTTTGATAAAGAAGGGGGTCATAAATGATAGAAATGGAGTAAAACTAAGAATGGCAAGCTTTGTACGTCTGTTTTTATAATGGAAGGGTGATGATAGCAGACTCAGGTTCTAATTTTAGTTGGATGTTACATTCCTCACAGAGTTGCTAAGAATCAGTGAGGGCCTTTGGAGAAAATGGCAGGCAAGAAGAGGAATGTGTGGCCATATATTTGAGAATGTGGAGTGTCGGAGGCCGGCTCCGGCAGGTCCAGGGATCCCTGAAGGATGGACGGGGTCGGCAAGAGAGAGAGAGTGAGAGAGCCCCGAGATCCTTTCTGATCACCAGGCAGGATCTCCGTCCTGTCGGTTTTGGTGTCTTTATTTGAAAGTTCAGCAACAACATGAGGTCAGAGAAAAGAATTTCGTACAATGGGAGGCCTTTTGTGGTATCAATTGCAGAATTATTCTGACCAAGGAAATAACAGAATGTTCTTAGTGAACAACAGGATAACATATAAGTTAAATTGTATATAGATAAGCTAAGAGTCATTCTGTCTGGCTCTCAAGAGGATGAATGTTTCTGAATTGGTTGCTTTGTGGAAACTATCGTGGGGGCCCTGAATGGGCCAGTCTTGGCACCTGGGTTTATGTTTTAGCTACTCTTATCTATCCTCATCCCAGCTGCCAGTGTAAGGGAGGGTGTTTGCGGAATGTAGGCCTTGAGGAAGGGACTGCTATGCTTCACCAATTAGCAAAGATATATGTAGTAACTATTTTCTGCCCTTAACCCCAAAATAGGCTCTTTGTCTCCGGGCCAGGCTCAATTGTAACTCTTGTGTTCTTAACCCCCTTTATTATCTAAGTCTTGGGTCTGCAAGGCCCATAGGAAGAGCCTTTTGACAATCATCCACAGTGCTTTCATCTAAAATCTCTTTCGAAAAGGCAGGAATATGCTTTTCCTAATGAGGTATCTGTGTCCAGAATATGGGTCTGATATGGACTATTGTGAGGCCTGGTCAATACCAGCAGGCTCATTTCCAACATGAGCCAGTAGTAGCAGAAGGAGATACCAGTTTTCGTTTCTCATGGCAGGAGCTGTGCAAACGCTGCCATTTCCTTGCTGTGACTGCCATCCAGAGAGGCCGGTGCGGCTCCCGGCAGTGGAGTCGTTTCCAGAAGCCTCGGAGTTGGTTTAGGATTCTGGGGTCCCTTCCAGTACCATGGTTGCTACTTAAAGGCTAGATCAAGTCAGACAGTAGCTTTATGTCCTTATTTTTTTTTTAATGTTTATTTATTTTTTGAGAGAGAGCAAGGCAGAGCACAAGCAGGGGAGGGCAGAGAGAGAGGGACACAGAATCTGAAGCAGGCTCCAGGCTCTGAGCTGTCAGCACAGAGCCCGATGCGGGGCTCGAACCCACGAACTGTGAGATCGTGACCTGAGTTGAAGCTGGATGCTTAATCGACTGAACCACCCAGGCGCCCCTATGTCCTTATTTCTTTTAATGTACAATGGGATGACACTAATCTAACCCTACAGAAGTCCATACATTGAGACCTTCAAAACATTTAATATATTTAGACATAAAGTTGACTTTTGCAGTTAGTGGCTTTGATATATCTTCCTTCACATCACTGGCTAATATGTTAACTTATGTTAGAAAATTAGCTATAATTTAATAACCATAAGGAATGAAAATAGTATTGGGTCATGAGAGTCCTGTGATCCTGGAAGTCAAGTCATGTGGCAAAGTCCTAGGAGACTAAAGTTATTTAATAGATTACCACTTGGGTGAAGTAAAACCAGGTTGGTCAGTGCAAACTGGATGTGTTAATTAAATCCCTTGAAATTAGGAGGTGTGGAGTTTCCATCAATTAGTGGTAATATGCAAGCTGATTCTCTCAGGGTACTTACTTAGTAATGCCTAAAGCACTGTAAAAATGTATCCAAAACACACTTCTATGAAGGGGTGGAACATATAACTTCATACCAGCTACAGTGGTCCTTACTCAAGAGCACAGGCTAAACGAGGCTGGAACTGTTCTAAGGGAAAATGTCCAATCGAGAGAGGCTATCTCCCTAGATCATGAGTTCGATGAAGGTACAGATGTGAGTCTTACAAACTGATGTTCCCTTTATTGCCTAGTAGTGTGCCTGGCAATTCATAAGCACTCAATAAATATTTGGTGAATAAATGATGTGAGGAACCTAGATGACCCCAGGGCAAACACTCATCTTCTGGAACAACAAATCACTATACATAAGTAAGGCTAATACGGGCTTTTGCCCATCTTTTTTAGTTGAGACCTCCTTGGAAAATGATCTCTTTAGCTTCAGGTGACAGCTTCCTAGTTGGAACATATTCCGCCCCCGCCCCCAATCCGAGTCGTTGTCAATGCTCACAATTATCACCCAACTTAAAACTTCAACTTTCTCCCTGTGTTCAAAATGCTGAATTATTTTACATGCTCATTAGATTCTTGAAACCACACTGATATCCTTATACAGTGGATGGATCATTTTCATGGTCATGCATAGGCTTCCAAACAATTGCATTCCAGGCACACACAACGTACAGAGGGGACGTGGCAAGAACTGTGGTGAACATGTCTCAACATCCGCCAACTTTTGTTCCTTAGTGTGCAATCGTAGATATTTTTAAACTTCAACATAGAACAGAAACTAATTTGAATTAAGTGTATCATAATATTCAGAGAGTTATATCCTTAGAAGCCTGTGAATGGTGTGTAATCAACAAGAATTTAGTAAGTATAGTGTACTGCTAGATTTGAGAGAGGAAATATATTATTATCCTACCCCTTTAATTGGGAGACAATATACTTAAGAAGAGGTAAATAATTACTCATGACCACTGATGCAAATCTATTTATGTGCAATCAGTGAATATTTATGTAGATGAATAGGAAGTATTCTACCTAGAACATGTAAAACTTCAGGTTTCGGTGTCTAACATCTTCGTTTATGTAATTAAATAAATATGAGTGAAATTGATCAACTATAAACCTACTTGGATACATGTGAAAAATTAGAGCCAGTTATTCATTAGAAATGGCATAAATAAAATTATTTCTTTTAATGTTTATTTATTTACTTTTGAGAGAGAGAGGAGAAGATAGAAAGAGAGAAAATCCCAACCAGACTCCACACTGTCAGGGCAGAGCCCCACACAGGGAACTGTATGATCATGACCTGAGTTGAAATCAAGAGCCATACATTTAGCCAACTGTTACCCAGGCAGCCCACAAATAAAATTATTCTAAAAGAATACATATAGTCCCAAACCACATCAGAGACAACACATAAACAAAATTAGATTTTAGTTTCTCTTCTCACATCTTCTTATTTGATATTAAAGAGGAACTCTGGACATGAGCTGAAATAGTATTTCAGTAGAGGAAGAACAAGTGAAAAGAGGTAAGAATAAAATGAAAACTGTAACATTTTTGAGATTTAATATACACTGATTTAATAATTTTTATTTTTTAATTTATTTTTTTTTTAAGTTTATTTGTTTTTGAGAGAGAAAGGATGACAGAGAGAGAGGGAGAGAGAATCCCAGGAAGGCTTGGTGCTGTCTGTCAGTGCAGAGCCCAGCGTGGGGTTCAGTCTCACAAACTGTGAGATCATGACTTGAACCAAAATCACCCAGGCTTCCCTAAAACTTTAATGATTTTTAAAAATGACCCCTAAGGTAGCACTTACAGATTTAAAATGCAAATGAGAAAGCAAAATCATGTTTATATTTAATTTTCATTTGGTCACTAGATGGCAGCAAAGCAATGAGCAAACGACTGTGCAATGAGAAGCCTTGAGTTAGTTGCAGAGCAATGAGGGGTTTTGGTTGTTTGCATGTTTTTACTTTGTTTTGTTTTGTTTTAAACCCTGAACACTCCTTTTCCTTTTCTCAAATGTTTAATATGAACCATTAGTATCTATCTACGAAAGAAAAGATGGTGAAGGGTTCTGATTTTTGAGAATTTGAATAGTCAAAACTGAGGCCTAAGAGATTAAAGCCTAGTAGTTGTGGAATCAAAACTTAAATAAATAAGACGCCAACATTTTACAGCCCTGTTCAGTCTTCTGGAGGCCTCGGTGCACATCATACAACACTTGCTGGATATGTGCCCTCAGGCAAGTTCATTTCTCCGGTCTCAGTCTCCTCATTTGTGAGTAGGGATGACAATGCTACTTATTCAGAGAGGTTTTTAAGGAATTAAATGAGTTAGTACATATAACTTCTTAGAATAATAATTGTAGCATGTAATAAAACTCTCAATAGGGGTTATTTAATCTCGTCTATAAATTAATTTTACTTCAACCAGGAAAATCTCTAATGGCTTATTCAATACCTAAAATAATGTTTTTCTTTATGTAGCTATGATATAATATGTCATGATTAATAACATCATGAACCCACATCTTAATTCAGATAACGGTAGAGGAGTTATTACACAAGGATCCCCTAACGGATTCCTCTCTGTGCTTGGCATTGACAACGATAAAGACTCTTGTCTCATACCAAGTAGCAGGAAAACAAGATGTGGCCACGTTAAAAAACCGGCACGATGCTAGAAGGGATGATTTGGAGGAGCATCAGTGAATTTTTCCCCAGGAAGGTTCTGTTCCAGAAACTCTGTACTTTACCCGAGGAAGTATATGATTGGCAAGACATCCGGAAAAAAAAACAAAGAGGAGAGGTGGGAAAACTATGGCATTTGTTCTGTTTTATTGACTTTCAAATGTTGGCAGGATAGAGTCCCT